CAGACAGACAGACAGACGCGAGCGCTTTATATATTGTAAGGATGCTGATTTTCTGTAAGCATATACCATCATTTGAGAATTTCAGATTCTTAGCTGTCGGAAAAGTATTGTCGCAAGTGATGTTGAAACAAAGAGGAACTGTGATACTTCATCAAGTCACGAAACCTCCTGGGTAGCGGTCTTAATCTGATAGCAAGAAATGAACCAAATTTTCATCTTTTCATGAATACGTGCCTTCAATAGGTCCCTATTGCAGCACTTGTCACTCACTTTTGTCAACCTACCCTACCATCTCGTCTTATCGATTGAAATCTACTGGAGTCAAAACTACATTTTGTACACCGAAGATTTCAGGATATCGATGGGCACGTGGCTCTTGTTTTCTGAGGTTTGCTTAGAGCGCCTATCAGTTGTTGCTAATTTCTGTCACTTATAATCCCTATCACTTCTTCAAAAGCCAAGGTTCAACTGCGAACACGAAGTTCGTTGCAGGCTTAGTAGACCTCGTCTTCTTTGACTCGTTATCAGTCCGTGTCGCCAATCATTTACAGACTCTTCCAATTTCACACTACTCGCAAGAGTGCCAGGGCTTCACTGTTGTGGAACTAGTGGCTCGCGCCTATTATAGCTCGTAATCAGTCCCTATCAGTTGTTATCAATCCCTGTCACCGATCGGTTTCTATGCCAGTGCTTCACCGGTAATATGAAATGAGTAATGGATCCTGCGGCTTTCGTCTTTTAGTCTTCTTATCAGTACCTATTAATTATGATTACTTCCAATTACTGATCATTAGTGTTCCCATCCTGCCGCCTGCACCCCTACCGAATGCTGAATGCTCTTGGTCTACAGGATGTCCCAAAATTATTTGCGCCGTTTTGTAGCAATATATTTGAAAATTTTCAACTGCGAAAGACGATGGAATTTCTATGCACGCTAGCTAACACTATGTGCTACAACATGCTAGAGTCTCATTTTAAAATATCCCCCGTGAACGCGAATAGAAGTCAAAGTTTGCTTTCGACTTGATCGCATGTGGCACGCAGGTATCCTTCTCCATTTCTTCCCAGCCGTCCTCCAGCTTTTGCATTCTAGGACTCCAAACTGGGACTGCAATTCGACA